TTATAGATCAGTATAAATGCTAATGTAAATGGTATGTTTTTAATTTCCAATTACACTTGTATGTTGGTGGTACACAGAAAAACAATTGACTTTTGTATATTAAACTTGTGTCCTGCAACTTTAGTATACTCACTTTATTGGTTCCAGGACTTTTTTCTGACAGTTTTTTTTTTATTTTATACATAAAAAATCATGAAAAGATATTTTCATTTTCTGGTTTCCAATCAGTATATTTTTTGTTTCCTTTTCTTGTATTATTGGGTCATCAAAAAAGTTATGATGTATTTTTCTATGTTTTACTATGCAAAAGTGCATCATGACTTTTCTAACAACCCAATAGCTAAGAATATCAGCATAATATTGTAAAGGTGTGATGAGAGAGGACATCCTTGCCTTGTGCCTGATTTTTTTTAAAAGAGGTTTTTGCCTTCAGGCGCGTGCACTCACTAGAGAATGAAAAATGGAGTTAGAGGGAAAGTGAGACATCACCCCTCAGGTGGGGTGGCCACACCACAATCCCTTCTCCTCCATTCTCCTCCTGGGATCTTGGGCATGTACCCACCCAGTTCAATTTATTTCTGCCCTAATTTTTAATTCTTTTTTTCTCCTGCTTATTTTGGATTTAATTTGCTATTCTTTTTCTAGTTTTCTGAGATAGGAGTTTAGATGATTGATTTTTAGATCTTTCTCTTTCCTAATATATCCACTCTAATACTATATATTTCCCTCTAAGGAGAGCTTTTGCAGTATCCTGCTACTTTTCATAAGTTGTGTTTTTAGTTTTAATCAATTAAAAATATTTTAAAATTCCTCCTGAGATTTCTTCTTTGAGCTATATTTTGTTTAGCAATGGGTTGTATAATCCCCAAGTACTTGGGGGATTTTCTAACTATCTTCCTATTGATGTCTAGTTTAATTTAATTATGGCCTTAGAGCAGACATTGTCTGATTTGTATTCTTTTAAATTTGTCGTGTGTATATGGCTCATAACATGGTTTATTTTGGCAAATAGATCTTCTCCATGTGAACTTGAGAAGAATGTGTATTCTGCTGTTACAGAATGATAAATGTAGATTTAAAAATTATATCCACTTGCTTGATGTTGCTATTGAGTTCAGCTGAGGTCTTTGATGGTTTTCTGCCTGTTGGATCTGTTCATTTCTGATAGAGGGGTATTAAAAGTCTCTGACTATCGATTGTCAGAAAAGTAATGACACGTTTGCATAGACAAAAACAGGAAAATATGACATGACTTTCCCGATAAGCTAATATAATATTGGATTATCTATTTCTCCTTGTAGTTCTATCAGTTTTGCCTCATGTATTTTGAGACAGCATTGTTAGACACATACACATTAAGGATTATATGTTCTTGGAAATTTGGCCCTTATAACATTTTTCTCTTTTCTTAGCTATCAGTTACACTTTTTCTTTTTGTTATTTTAGTAGTTGTCTTACAGCTTGTTTTATGCATTTACAATTGGTCCAAGTCCATTTTTTTTTTTTTAAGCATTTTTTTTTTTTGGAGAGATTTTCACTGTAGGGCGCGTGCGCTCGCCAGACAGACAGAGAGAGACATAGAGACAGAAAGCGAGAAATCACCCCCCAGGGGGGATGGTCACGCCGCAATCCCTTCTCCTCCATTCTCCTCTTGGGATCTTGGGCACGCACGCACTCGCGCCCGGCGTGAGATTTAAGCCACCGAGTCCGGGACACGAACCGCGGTCGACTACGTGGGAGTCCAGCGACATAGCCATTACGCTAACTGCTGGTTCCCTCCAAGTCCATTTTAAAATAATACTACACTGTCTTACAGTAGTAGGATTATCTTCTAATAATAAAATAATCTTAATATCTTCCCTCCAGTCCCGGTCTTATGGCTGTTATCCATATCGCTTGTACATACATAATATGCTATATACACACACACAACTACATGATTATACATCATCATACATAACTGGATGCATTGTTATTTTGAACAAAATATTGACTGTAAGATAGTAACTAGTAAGTAAAATAGAAGTTTTTATTTTACCTTCACTGTTCCTTCTCAGATGCTTTTTCTTTTTGTATAGAGATCCAAGTTTCTAACTTATAGAGTTCTCGCTTAAGAGTTTCTTTTAACATTTCTTGCAAGACTGGTCTGCTGCCCACAAAGTCCTTCAATTTTTCTCTAAAAATGTCTATTTTTCCTTACCTTTTGAAGAAAAATTTTTCAGGGTATAGAATTCTAGATTGGTAGTTTTTTTTTTTTTCTCTCTCTCTCTCTCAACATTTAAATATCCCACTGTGCTCTGTTCTTGCTTCTATGGTTTCTGAGGAGAAGTTAGATGTAGTTATTATGGTTGCTCCACTATAGGTAAGGTAGTTGTTTTTCTGGGGTCTTTTCTTTATCTTTGATTTTCAAAGTAATTTGAAAATAATATGCCAGTGTGTACTTTTTGGCATTTTCCCTGCTTTGTTCTGAGCTTCTATAATAGAGCTTTAGTTCAGTTTTAAAGGTCCTTTTGGCCCAGCCACAGTGGTGCAGGTGGTGGGTGGCACTGTACAATGCTAGAGTTGATAGGAGGCCTGGGTCTGATACTAATTTGGGGGAAATTCTCAATTACTCCTGTTTCAAATACTTCTATTTGCTTTTTTTTTAATCGTATACCTGTTACGCACGTGTTATACCTTTTGTGGTTGTCCCGCAGTCCTTGCATACTCTGTTCTGATTTTTGTCATTTTCAGTCTTTGTTCTTCCATTTTCAAAGTTTTTATTGATACATCCTCAAGCTCAGATTTTTTTCCTACCAGCGTCTCATCTACTAATATGCCTATCAAAGGCATTCTTGAGTTCTGTTGCAGTGGCTTTGATCTCTAGCATTTCTTCTTGATTCTTAGGATTTTCCTCAATGTGCTTACATCGCCCATCTGTTCTTACATACTGTCTACGTTGTTCATTAGAGACGTCAGCATATTACTCATCATTGTTTTAAATTCCCAGTCTGATGATTTCTAGATTCCTGACATAACTGAGTCTAGTCGGGGTGCTTGCTCATTCTCTTTAAGCTATTAGGTTGTTGGGAAAGTCATGATGTGTTTTTCTACGCAAAAATACTTTATGGTTTTCCTGACAACCCAATATGTTTTTACCTTTTACTATGCCTTGTAATTTTTTTTTTTTATTAATAGCCAGATATGATGTACTAGGTAAAAGAAACCACAGTAAATAGGCCTTTACTGACGCAATGGCAAAGTGTGTGAGGCAGAGAGACATTCTCCATTCCTATGATTAGGTCTCAGTCTTTTGGTAAGCCTGTGCTGCTGAACTCTGAACTTCACAAGTGCTTTTAGTCCTCCAATGGCCTGAAGTGGGATAGGATGACTATAATAAGCTGAAATTAGGCATTTCCGTTCCCTCATGTCAATTAGGAACTATAAAACCTCAATATTAAAGATCTGTTGAAACAGTTTCATCTGAGGACTGGCCTTGTTCTCGCCTATTTAAAAAATGTTTTTTTGAAGACTGGCTCTATGGCCTGGTGGTTAAGACAGCTATATTCCACATGGCCGACTGCACAGCTTGAGTCCTGAACCCAGTGGCTTGAAAACACATGCCACGCACATGTGCATGCGTGTCCAAAATCCTGAATGGAGGGAGAGATAAAGGAGGAGGAATTGTGGCATGACCGTTCCCCATGGGGTTGCTTTCTGTCTGCTTGTCTCTGGTGTGTACATACACCCTCTAGTTTGTTGGTTGTTGTTTTTTAAAGGTTCCTTTGGCCCAGCCACAGTGGTGCAGGTGGTGGGTGGCACTGCACAATGCTAGAATTGATAGGAGGCCTGGGTTTGGGTCCAGGTTGATCCGAACACACTGGGTAAGCCCATAGGCATGCCTGTGATCTAGGCTGAGGAAGAATGCAGTGCAATGAGGCCCTGCTAGGGGTAACTTCCCTCAAGGAATATACTTCCATTTTTAAAAAAGTCCAAAAATGGTAATGGTACTTCCTCCTCTTCTCTCTCTGGAAGCATGAGGGTATTTTCTTCCTGTACTTATTGTGAAAACTTGATCAAACACAACACGTGAAGATAAACTCACAAACTCCAGGAGATAAAACTTTATCTCCAGGAGATAAACCTGCTATGACTTGGTCCCTCTAGAGTTTTTGATTTAGATTTGTCCACACTGAGCCTCAAGCAGTTTGTCAGTTACAATTCAGGTATTTCTACCTGGGTCCTGTTACTGAGGAAGTTTTTGTTTTGAGTTTATGCTTCAGTAAGTTGTGATTCTCCATAATTGCCTGGTTGGCTGTCATTTGTCACTGTGACCTCACTTCACTGTGCATCTACAAAGAGTTGTTGGTGTTCTCAGTTTATTCAGCTTCCTACTTGTCAGAACGGAGTGATGGCATCTAAGCTATATGCCAGCCTAGGAACTGCAGCAGTTCATTTTTACCTTTATCCTCCACCAAGGATAATCAATGAAATGGGCAAAATGAAGAATGGTTCGAACTCAGACTATAGACCAGAAAGAGGCTTTAGAAGTCAGCCATTGGCATTCTTCTCTCAGGAATATTCCAACACTTGAACAGAGTAATGGCATGGACTGTATGCATATGACCCACACGTAGAGAAATGGAGTAGACTGTACACACGTGACAACTTGGGCCCTGAATCTAAATAAGCCATTTGCAGAGAAAGAGATGAAGTTTTTCTATAACTGGAGTTCTGCTCCCCAAAGGAAAATTTAAATGTGACATTATATATTTGTCCATGTTTAATATATATAGGACAACTAGAAGACATAATTAGAATCAGTGGTTATGTCTGCAAAGTGGTTTGGTGGATGATTTTAGTTTTGTGTGATAAGATAATGGGCGATTTTTATTTTTCTCTTGTTTTTAATGTGTTATTCAAATTCTATCAAATGAATCTGTATTGCTTTTACATTCAGGAGAAAAAAACTAATATTTTAGACCATGAACATTTGGATATCTCTTTTCCATGTGTTATAGTCTGCAAAATGAATGTTCATCGTCGATGTGAGACCAATGTAGCTCCTAACTGTGGAGTGGATGCCAGAGGAATCGCCAAAGTGCTAGCTGACCTAGGTGTCACTCCAGACAAAATCACCAACAGTGGCCAGAGGAGGAAAAAGGTAACCATGGTGTTTCTGGAGCTCTTTCTGGGCCAGAATCTCTGTACTGGTTTTCTCCAAGTATTCTGGAGTAGGGTTATAAAATTCCTAGGTTTAAAACATTTTACTTAAAGAGGGTGCTTAACGAGAGTGACAATGGGGGTGCCAGACTGGTAACATTAAAGTATCTTTCAGCTCTAGAAACATAAAGAGAAAACAAAGCAAGTCTCAGTGTTATGTTTGTCAGAAAAAGAAAAGCTTTCAGATGAGTACTTTGGAATTCCTTCTAGAAAAAGCTTAATGACTCTAGACAAGGAAATAGACTTATCTGCCTCTGCAACTGGCATGAGAGTAATGTTAGTGTCTGAACTTCACCCTGGTATCATTATAATGAGGATAAATGGATGAAGAGCTGGAGCCACATTCCTTTTTTAGGGTAGGAAGCCAAAAAGATTTGTGATAGTACCAGCACTGAGTTGCCTGAGGAATATTATTAATGTTCTATGACATGAAACATCTGGACCTTTCTTGGGAGACCAAAGCCATGTCTCCATCTGTGTGACATTCTGAATGTCACATTCAATCAGGAAATCCATTTGCTAAACTATTGTCTTGGTGTCAGGGCACATAGATGTAAACAGAGCTTAAGGGACTCATAGCATTTTTTTTTTTTTTTTGCAAGCTCTTCTTTAGCCTTGGCGTCTAGCCTAGAAAATTTAAGAGGTCTTTGGAAAGTAAGTTATGAGAAATGAAAACCATGTTAACTGGGCAGGAAGGCCTGGTGAGGGTTGAGGTGGGGAGTGGCCGCATTGCCCCACATCAAGCATTCTCCAGCTCTTTACTAGAAAAGCCAGTCTGACTCTAGGTACTTCTAATCTTGATTTATAAATGTTCTCCCTCAATTTTGCCCTGAAATACTTTCTGAAAGGCCTTGAGTTTCCTAGGGTATCATGTTTTAGAATCTTTCCACATCTTTTCCTGATACCTCCCAGAAGAATCTTTTCCTTTGAGTGGGAAATATCAGATTTTTTTCATCTCCTGAAATAACTTCTGTATGTTCCCAATAAACAAAGCCATTTTGCAAGAGGTACAGAAAAATTCTCTTCTTCCTGGTTGAGTCACCAATGAGATTTTTTGCTTTTGGTGGCTCTTGATTCCGTGACTCCCACTGGTAGAAACAGGACCTCAGTTGTTAATCCAGATGTTGGAATTATAAGGAAAACGTCAGTCCTCAAGAATGCTAGGATCCCATTGGAGAGTCAACTTAAGCAAGCACTATGCTGACAGTGTTAGATACACATTAATGAGTTCTAGAGAGAGCCTTGTTTAGGATACATGGTTTTCTCTTCTGCTAGAAATGAATTAAGGTAGAATCTTTAATTGCCATGAAACACTTAAAAGAAACCATGGTAACTGGCCTCTGCTGTATATTTACACAGGCTGGAATGGTCACTGCTATCGGGAATTGCAGCAGAAGGAAGCAATGTAGATAAGGAAGGAATAGAGTGAAAGGCTGAGGCACTGTGGTCCTGATTTTTTTTTATATGAAATTTCTGATGCAAAATTTGGAAAAACCCAAGTAGTAGTACAAATTAGTATGAGTGTATCAGAAGTGCTATTGGTCAAGCTAAAAGGGCCTCTCTGCAGAAATTTATACTTGCTAGGGCTGATTCCCCTCATACTGCCCTTGCAAGTAGTCCATCATGCAGAAAGAGTGCACGTACACAAGGAGTAGATCCAGGGTGCTCATGACCTCTCAGTCCAAACCACTGACTTTCATGGTGACTTAGTGATCTGTTCCAAGAAACAAGGTTCACTGAGGATGTGCTATTAAAATTTGCCCCAAAATATCTCTGTAGATAGTTATTGATCATCAACTATGTGTTTTACTTTGTACAAGTCACTAGGGGCAATAAAAGTACTAGATAAAAGCCAGCAGGTAGTGTAGTGATCAAGTTGCTGGACTCCCACACGGATAACCATGGTTCAAGTCCCAGACCTGGCAGCTTGCTGTCTCACTTTCTGTCTCTCTCTCATCTCTCTCTGGTGAGCACACCTGCCTTGTAACAAATGTAAAAAAATAATAAAAGTAATAATAAATGAAATACATAAAAGATTTTTTTTAAAAAAAGCTACTGAATAGAGTTTCATCTTCAAAGAACCTATAGTCTGAGTAGAGAACCCACACACAATATGCACGTGCAGGTATTATTAACTCTATAAAATGAAATTAGATGAATAAATGCCAAGTAGATATTAGAGACAAGTGTCATGTTGCTTTGGATGAGATTGCTTACATTGCTTGGGAAGGCAGAACGAAGTATGGAAGAAGTGAGACTGAGCTTTGCTTAGAAAGATTGACTATATTTGGTTAGAATAAAAACCTAATGAACCGAGGTCTCTTGTTTTTGTCTCTTCGATTGGCAGATGAAAGCTGGAGCCTGTGTTTCCAGAATATCAATTCAGCAAGGGCTACTGTGTATTAGGAACTCTTACAACTCTTGGAATAGTATCACGATGCTGTTGACCTCAGGAAACCTCATAGCCTCCCTTCTGATGCCTCTCCTTTCTCTCCTCTCTAGCTTATTGCCGGTGCCGAGTCCCCACAGGCTGCCTCTGGAAGCTCACCATCTGAGGAAGATCGATCCAAGTCAGCACCCACCTCCCCTTGTGACCAGGGTGAGACCCTCAGATTTGCTTACCTCTGAGCTCAGTCATTAGAAGGACCATGAAGCTGGAGGTCTCTTCATTCAAGTTGCACCTTGTCAATTGAAGCAGCTTCAGCCTGGAGAGTCTATAGGCTTCAGCATGGAGAGTCTATAGATGCGCTTTCCCTGCTGATTTAATAGGTGTTCTGTTACTCTAGAAGGTTTTCATGAGAACCAGGTACTAAATGGCTATGCATACCTTAAATTCCTTCCAGGCCATGGTAAGAGAGAATAACTGTGTGATGTTCATTTTCCTTTAGCTGCTCTCCCTGGTCCCAAGTGTGTACATGCATATATGTATGTGTATGAATGTATGTGTATGCTCATGTGCAGCTTCTTCTCTTACCCCTCTGTCACAGTGTCTGCCCATGGACCTGTTAGCATGCTCACTTAAGGTGTTTTGATACCACCCCTCTTCTGACTTTAATCATCATACTGCTGAGATCAGGTCAAGTTGGGAAACAGAGTGGGAAAGCATCTCCTGGTGGGTAGAGATGAAAGATGAAGTGAAGAAGAGGTAGGGAAGAAGCAGGCTGTAGGCTTGACTCCCTTCTAAAATATAGCTCAGGATGTCTCCTATCTGACTAATCCTAAGAGTATGTGGGCCAGTCGGTGGCATGGAGGTTAAGATGGTTGGCTCCCACATGGCTGACATGGTTCAAGTCCCAGAACTGGCAGCTTGAAAAATCACACCAGGTACCTGTGCGTGTGTATGTGTCCCCAAAATCCTGAGAGGAGAATCAAAGAGAAGGGATTGTGGTATGGCCATCCTCCCAGGGTTGATTTCTCACATTTCCTCTCTGTCTGTTTCTGGCAAGTGTACATGCCCTATATCAAACTAGAAAGAAAGAAAAAAAATATTTAACATAATAATAAGGTCTGCAATCATGTATGAATAATATTCATTCTGAATCCATCTAAGAGTGCTAAGGCTAAAGAGGGACTTAAACATTTAATAACTTCCACTCTGGTGGATGTAGAGGACTTCACTTGGAGGAGATGCATGTTTCTGCAGAACAGACAATAACATGGCAATAGTGCTGGGATTGTCTGTCCTTCTTTTTGCATTCATTATTCTAATTTTATGTTTACATCAATTCTCCGTTGGTTCCTCATTACTGTTCCTATGTTACAAGGTGGGAGAGTTGAAAAGATTTGTCCCAAGGTCAGAAACTAAGTCAGCAGCAAGGGCAAGACTATGGCCCTCCTGGCTTAGGAACCCCACTCAGAATCCATGCCATTGGAGTTTTCCTGGAGGCCATCACTTGTGACTCAGAGTACATAAAATAGTCGTCTGAGCTAGTGTCATTCTTTAGGCCACAAAATAATTGGTCTTGGTTTCTCTTCCTGCTGTTCCAGTGAACTTTTGTGTCATTATATTCTGCTTCATTCTAAGAGATGTGAGTCATTAATAAATAATCTGATAATCTTAGGGGCCTTTATTCATTATTACCTCAGACCAATGTGGGCCTTTTCATGCATCCCCTTTTTCATGCTGAGGCTCCTGTGGGAGTTTCAAGGAAGACAGGGTCATTTGGTAAAGAAGACTCCAAGTAACAGTGAGGCGACCAAATTGTTAGACCTGGCTCCTGCCTGGCATGTTGTTGGGCTTTAGCAGGATGCAAGGTGCCTCTCAAGGGCCTTTGTTCATCCCCAGCCATGATGGTACCAAATGTCTCAGCAATGATGTCAGCTCTGATGGATGGGAAAGCCATCTTGGCAAGGCATGACATTGTTACAGGACAGAAATAAAGCATAGCTTCTCCTTCCTCTCTTAAAGAACAGTTAGAAAGATATTTTCTTTAAGGTTTGATGTCTCCAGACACCTTTCTGCCTTCCAAAATCCATTGAGTAACAGTCTTTTAGCTTGATGGTGAGACTAGACTAAAAGTTATACTTAGGTATAGAGAGCTGCTGAATTGGCATGGGAGTCGTGTGTAGGCTGAAAAGGTATAACCACTCCTTCCTCCCAGTGCTTCAACACATCTCAGAGGGGCTCAATTCCAGTTCTAAGGAAGATCTCTAGATTGTTTCAGTGAGCTCTCATGGGCCTCCATCCTTCTGAAAAGAAGGTTAAGATCTTTTTGTCCAGTGGCACCTGGTCACCCATGCATGATTCTGATTTCCAAGGCTTAAGAGTTCGTTTTTCTTCTGTAATCCCAGTTATTCACAAGCACCTCTGAAAGTCAGATTATGCTCTAGATGCCCAGTTCTACACAGATGAGTATGTATCTTGTTGAATGAGTAGCTAACAATAAAACTTCTTCAAATAGTAAAGGTCACAGGATCATCTAGTGTTATCAACTCCAAATAATTCAGAACATACTCCAGAGGAGCACAAAACTGCCTTGTCTTTGTGAAATTGCTCCGAGAAATTCCTGCCCCACTGGAGATAAATTTGTAACATGTTACTCTGGGAAGCAATTCGTTTGTTAATGATAAGCCCATTGCTCATTTTGTTAGATAACCTTGTGTGAGACTGGTATTTTGGATAAACCCAGAAACAAGGCCAAGTAAAGACCTTCAAAAGGTGAGGCTTTCGGGAACCAGCAGTTAGCATAATGGCTATGTCGCTGGACTCCCACGTAGTCGACCGCAGTTTGTGTCCCAGACCCGGTGGCTTAAAACTCACGCTGGGCGCGTGTGCGTGCGTGCCCAAGATCCCAAGAGGAGAATCGAGGAGAAGGGATTGCGGCGTGACCATTCCCCCTGGGGGGTGATTTTTCGCTTTCTGTCTCTGTCTCTCTCTCTCTGTCTGTCTGGCGAGCACACACACCCTATAGCGAAAAACCTCTAAAAAAAAAAACCCAAACCAAACAAACAAAATAATAATAATAAAAAAAAAAAGGTGAGGCTTTCTAGTTCTAGTTGTTGAAATAATTGTACCACCAGTGATTACTGTGATGGTGGTTCTCAATTAGTAGCTGTTCTAACCTTCAAAAGAAATTTAAAGAGTACCTGTTGGCTTTCTGAATCTGCAGAGTTCCAGAGAAGGCCTTATTTCTTGTACTACACCAAGAATAATGGAATAGGCTACTTGTCAAAGGGTGCTTTCGAAGAGGAGTCTAGGCCTAGTGTAAGCTGTAGGAGTTTTTTTGGGAATAAACTCCCCCAGGGCAGGGACTATATCCTTCTCCTCTTTGAATACTTAGGCTCTGCTATATTTGCAATGCTGATGAAAGTGCATTGAACATACATTTTAAAAACCATGTTGCATCTGTTGCTATGAAGAATCATAAAGAGGTTTGAAGGCCCATGGGGACATGTTGCGAGTACTGAGTCCCAGTAGGAAAAGATCAGGAAGTGTATGCACTAATGCAATATCTTGTTACCCTAGAAATAAAAGAACTTGAAAACAACATCCGGAAGGCCTTGTCATTTGACAACCGAGGAGAGGAGCACCGGGCAGGAGCATCCACTGACGGCCAGCTGGCAAGCCCAGGCGAGAACGGTGAAGTTCGGCAAGGCCAGGCCAAGCGCTTGGGCCTGGATGAGTTCAACTTCATCAAGGTGTTAGGAAAAGGCAGCTTTGGCAAGGTCTGTTGCACACATTGGTTGTACTTCTGATTTTCTCTACCCCTTCATCTGGGGGATCTAAGATGAAGTGTGGAACATTCCAAACTGGTCTTACTGTGTTCTCCTTTCTTGGAAGAGAAAATGGAAATGGAAATGCCCTGAGACCAAGAAAATGGGAGCTGTGGTTCTACAGTTAACTGGCTCTGGGACTTTCGTCATTCTAACCTCTTTAGGATTCAGTTCTTCTCATTTGTCAAGTGGAAATAGGAATCAAGTGAGAGAGTGTATGAGGAAGCATTTTGAAAAGTTTAACCACATGTACTTAGCATTCTATTATCAACAGTAGTATCAAATCACTCCTTCCCTTCTTCAAAGATCCATTCTGTTTTTAATGCATTATGAAGACTTTGAAAATGAATTCTAGAATCTTTGTCCTCAGTGAGTCTTAGGGGAAGTTATGGTTTCTTCTGTAGTGTTAAAGCTGGAAACATGATTCCTTCTCTTAAAGAGCTAATTAACAATTCTATTTTCTTAGAGTTTTTCTGTCATTTGACATTTTGTACTCATTTACCTATGAACCAGAACCTTCTTATGTTCATCATCCATACAGGATGTTGCCTTTTACCACTGTACTGCCAGTCGGCACCTTCTGTATTCATTTTTGAAGCAAGATAGAGGAGCGGAGAGCTGTGGAAGCTGGTAGCATTTTAGCTGAGACCCCTGAGTCTCTCTTTGCTCTTCTTAAAGCCATGCCTGGAAATTGATGGGAGTCACCTTTCTGGGACCTCCTGGAACAGAGTCTCTCTGTTCTGAGGTCCAGGCAGTTCCCCAGGGTCACATGTCCTCACTTGTCCCAGACCCTTGAAAGCAGCAATCTAAAGGCAGTCAGCTGATGGAGCTGTAGGCCCACTCTGCCCTTCTCCAGAGCCCTGAGGGCACAGCCCTTTTACCTGCCCCCATCCCATCCTGAGGTCACCCCTGGAGGACATAAGGTAACTGGAGTTTACCTAAACAACAACTGAAGCAGTCACATTCTTTAGATCCTGGCTAAATAAGAAACTAGACCTTAGTCCTAGGTGTAATCCTGAGATGTGAGCAGGACTTGGTTTAATTTTGCACCAGAGTCAAGGAAAACAAGCAGACTCAGAATTTTAAGATTTTCATATAGTGTTGGCAAGTTGAGAACTTTGACTCTGAGTGTTTAGATTGTTTCTTAGGAAAAATCACAGCCAAAGTTTGAGCCAATTGAGTAAGAATTTCCTAGTTAAGCTTCTGAGTTGCTACAGCTTTGACAACCTCCACTGGAATACTGTACTCAGGAGTTAATTAAAAATACAAAGGTTTGTGACATTTGTAGGTAAATAAGTGCAAAAATATCAAATGATAGAAAAACTTTAAGAAAATAGAACTAATAATTAACTCTATAGCAAAGGACTCATGGTTCCAGCTTTAACATTATAGAAGGAACCGTAAAGGCAAAGAATGACATATTTGACTATATATAAAATAAATTATTCTATTTGGGACCAGCAGTTAGCGTAATGGCTATGTCGCTGAACTCTCATGTAGCCGATCGCAGTTCAAGTCTCGGACCTGGTGGCTTAAACTCACACCAGGCACGTGTGCGTGCATGCCCAAGATCCCAAGAAGAGAATGGAGGAGACGGGGTTGTGGTGTGGCCATCCCCCCTGGGGGCTTATTTCTCGCTTTCTATTTCTCTGTCTTTCTGGCAGCGAGCACATGTGCCCTATAGCAAAAACCTATCAAAAAATTATTCTATTTGATAAAAATAAATAAATAACAGGAAATCAAAAAATAAATTTAGAAAACACTTTGCAAAAAATAAAAGATTAGGGCCAGCCCTGTAGCCCAATAGTTAAGGGAGTTGGATACCACATGGTTAGTTGTGACGCAAATCCTGGTACCAGAGGCTTGAAGAACATGGCTGGCTAAAATCCTAACAGGTTGGAGAAATGGCAGAGAGGGATTGCAGCATGACCATGCCCCATTTGGGGATGCTTTCTCCCCCTCTCTGTCTGTCTCTCTATTTCTATCTCTTTCTCTCTCCCCGCTCCCCTCCCCCCACTCTGTTAGTTTCTTGTGAGTGCACACACCCTCTGGCAATTAAAATCTAGAAAAAGAAAGTTAAGGGTAATATCTTTATATTTTGTACATGTATAAATTTCTTAGAAAATAAGACAGTAGATGACTAGACAAAGGAGACAACTCACACTGAAAGAAACACAAGTAGAAAGCAAATGTGTTTAAAGTTGCAAGTTAAAACAGCGTCAAGGTAAAATTTCATACCTCATAGACAAGCAAAAAGCCTTTTAAGTGAAAGCACCTGATGTCGATAAGTTACCTTGAAACTAAAACTCATCTGCATTGCCAGTGACATATTGTATTTTACATCCTTTTTTTGAAAATCAAGAAATGTACAAAATGCTTAACTTTTTAAATCTTCTGAGATTAAAACAAATTAAGGATGTAAACTAAGAAAAATTTTGTAAAATTATGTACAAAGATACTAATATAATTTATTTATATAATTAGATACAACTTAAGTGTATAATATGAGGGAAATAGTTGAGTAAAATGTGGTATATTTACTTTGAACTGACTCTCAGCAACTCCGATAACAGAGATCATATAGAAAAATGCTTATAAAGTATTCCGTTAATAATTGCTCTTTTGGGGGCCAGCAGATGGCATAGTGGTTACGTTGCTGGACTCCCACATAGCCAACCGTGGTTTGAGTCCCAGGTCTGCAGGCTTGAAAATCATGATGGGCATGTGCACATGCATGTGACCAGGATCCGAGGAAGAAACTGGAAGAGAAGGAATTGTGGCATGACCATCCCCACTGGGGGGTGATTTAATATTTTCCCTCTCACTGTCTCTGTCTGCGTCTCTCTCTCTCTCTCTCTGGGAAGCACACAGAGGTTTTTCCCCTATGGCAAAAACCTCAGAAAAATTGCTCTTTTTGCTATACCACAATTGCAAGTTTAAGTCCATATAATATGTGAATAATCATTTAATAGATGTATATTGAACAAACCTTTGCCAGAGAACTTTGTCAGAAATTTAATATAAATAAATTGTACTAGCTATATTAGGATGGGTAGTTTTTTAAAAACATTTTTAAATGCTACTATAATATTTAAAATTAAAGGAAAAATTTGTTTTTAAAGGAATTGGAATTAACTTGTGTTTTCCCTTTCGATTCCATACATGCATAGATTGATGGGGATCATTTTGATCAATTACAGGTCATGTTGGCAGAACTCAAGGGCAAAGATGAAGTATATGCTGTGAAGGTCTTAAAGAAGGACGTCATCCTTCAGGACGATGACGTGGACTGTACAATGACAGAGAAGAGGATTTTGGCTCTGGCACGGAAACACCCGTACCTGACCCAACTCTATTGCTGCTTCCAGACCAAGGTACGTTTAGGATGAAGCTGGCTGACCATGATCTGGGGGCAGCACTCTTAGGGCCCTGTGATTTCTTGACTGTCAGATAAAATATCAATTTTGGATTCTCTACATTCTTCTCTCAGACTTTGTAAAGTTGAATAGAGCTCACTCTTGAAAAGATGAGTGTATATTTGAGCATCAGCATCTTTTTTAAGGGCATGGAATTTTCCATTCAAGGTTGTGCTTGCAAAAGGATGAGAGAGTAGAACTCTCTGCAAATATAGCCAGACAAAACCAGATGTCTAAACCCAGTGTTTGCTCATTGGAAAAACTAACAGGCAAGGTTAGTTCTTGCTCAGCTCCTAACTTCCTATTGCTAGTCAAATGATTTAACTTCTATGTTGCTGTCAGCTTGAAGAACATGGCTGGCTAAAATCCTAACAGGTTGGAGAAATGGCAGAGAGGGATTGCAGCATGACCATGCCCCATTTGGGGATGCTTTCTCCCCCTCTCTGTCTGTCTCTCTATTTCTATCTCTTTCTCTCTCCCCGCTCCCCTCCCCCCACTCTGTTAGTTTCTTGTGAGTGCACACACCCTCTGGCAATTAAAATCTAGAAAAAGAAAGTTAAGGGTAATATCTTTATATTTTGTACATGTATAAATTTCTTAGAAAATAAGACAGTAGATGACTAGACAAAGGAGACAACTCACACTGAAAGAAACACAAGTAGAAAGCAAATGTGTTTAAAGTTGCAAGTTAAAACAGCGTCAAGGTAAAATTTCATACCTCATAGACAAGCAAAAAGCCTTTTAAGTGAAAGCACCTGATGTCGATAAGTTACCTTGAAACTAAAACTCATCTGCATTGCCAGTGACATATTGTATTTTACATCCTTTTTTTGAAAATCAAGAAATGTACAAAATGCTTAACTTTTTAAATCTTCTGAGATTAAAACAAATTAAGGATGTAAACTAAGAAAAATTTTGTAAAATTATGTACAAAGATACTAATATAATTTATTTATATAATTAGATACAACTTAAGTGTATAATATGAGGGAAATAGTTGAGTAAAATGTGGTATATTTACTTTGAACTGAGTCTCAGCAACTCCGATAACAGAGATCATATAGAAAAATGCTTATAAAGTATTCCGTTAATAATTGCTCTTTTGGGGGCCAGCAGATGGCATAGTGGTTACGTTGCTGGACTCCCACATAGCCAACCGTGGTTTGAGTCCCAGGTCTGCAGGCTTGAAAATCATGATGGGCATGTGCACATGCATGTGACCAGGATCCGAGGAAGAAACTGGAAGAGAAGGAATTGTGGCATGACCATCCCCACTGGGGGGTGATTTAATATTTTCCCTCTCACTGTCTCTGTCTGCGTCTCTCTCTCTCTCTCTCTGGGAAGCACACAGAGGTTTTTCCCCTATGGCAAAAACCTCAGAAAAATTGCTCTTTTTGCTATACCACAATTGCAAGTTTAAGTCCATATAATATGTGAATAATCATTTAATAGATGTATATTGAACAAACCTTTGCCAGAGAACTTTGTCAGAAATTTAATATAAATAAATTAATTGTACTAAATATATTAGGATGGGTAGTTTTTTAAAAACATTTTTAAATGCTACTATAATATTTAAAATTAAAGGAAAAATTTGTTTTTAAAGGAATTGGAATTAACTTGTGTTTTCCCTTTCGATTCCATACATGCATAGATTGATGGGGATCATTTTGATCAATTACAGGTCATGTTGGCAGAACTCAAGGGCAAAGATGAAGTATATGCTGTGAAGGTCTTAAAGAAGGACGTCATCCTTCAGGACGATGACGTGGACTGTACAATGACAGAGAAGAGGATTTTGGCTCTGGCACGGAAACACCCGTACCTGACCCAACTCTATTGCTGCTTCCAGACCAAGGTACGTTTAGGATGAAGCTGGCTGACCATGATCTGGGGGCAGCACTCTTAGGGCCCTGTGATTTCTTGACTGTCAGATAAAATATCAATTTTGGATTCTCTACATTCTTCTCTCAGACTTTGTAAAGTTGAATAGAGCTCACTCTTGAAAAGATGAGTGTATATTTGAGCATCAGCATCTTTTTTAAGGGCATGGAATTTTCCATTCAAGGTTGTGCTTGCAAAAGGATGAGAGAGTAGAACTCTCTGCAAATATAGCCAGACAAAACCAGATGTCTAAACCCAGTGTTTGCTCATTGGAAAAACTAACAGGCAAGGTTAGTTCTTGCTCAGCTCCTAACTTCCTATTGCTAGTCAAATGATTTAACTTCTATGTTGCTGTCAGGTCAAATGAAAAAAAAAAGAGTAAAAGGACACCCTAACCACTTCTAACTTGTTTAATGTCATAGGTAAAAGATGTAAACAAATAATTAAAATAGTGAAATAAAAATACTGTGTAAGGTAGCATTTTTAATTTACCTTGTTAGGGGCCCTGGGAACCACAAGGTGGCAGTAAAGAAACGAAGATAATCTAACTGAATTGCCTGGTGTGACCTCTGAGTATCAGAACTGATATGGTACTTAGTAAGGAAGAAATGCCAGTGTTCTTCATGACTCTCTTCTCCGGGGTGGGGGTATTAGTCTTTCAGGATGCAATATGGATTTGTAGTGTTTGCCTTCTTGAGAAGACAAAGATGATCTCACTCAGAACTCCTGCCTGTGGCATCTGGAGCCAGATAGTAGGGGTGGCATAAAGGAGAGGATATCCCTTGTTCTCTGTCATACTCTTGCCTCCATGTTGTTGAGAATGCTGGTCTTTCCGCATATAATTCAATCATTTTTCATTTGGTCATTTGGCAAATTTTAATTTTACTTTTATTGAATCCCTCCCCTATGCCCATACTATGCCAGGTGCTGGAAATGATACCCAGTTCATGATTTCAGGGAGTTTATGACCTCTTTGATATGCTGTTCCCTATATATATCTCCCAGGACCCATCTGAAAAGTTGTAAGAATAAAGGAATCTGCGGAATGTAGTTTGGGATGCCGCTATCTCCACCTCTCAGTCTTAACACGCATTTGTTTATTAGAGTCCCTGAGACCTGCAAGGAAAACAAAGTAACCTTTGTTTAATCCACTATTTCCCAATTTATTTGGTCCCTAGCTCCTGATCTCTTCCCCCCAACCACCATACACACACCTATCACACCCTGGAAAACACTGATCTGATGGAATTTTCCTATCCCTCTGATCTCTTAGAAGAATAAGAAAGACCTCCTGAAATATCTTCTAATCATCCTGCTTATCCTTCAGTGAAATTTATATTTCTTCTCTTTGAAATTTTTCTCAGAGAAACTATTTACTAAGAATCTCTCTCTTTTCTGGACAGTGGGATTTATAGGTTAGTACTTGTGCTTGTATGTACATATTCAGAGTCTAACATGATAATCGAAGATAAACAATAGGGTCAATTTTGCTTCCTCTACTAGAGCTTAATTCTAGATTGAGATGTGTATCTTTCTTAGGGCCCCATACCTGGTAAATATTCACTGTCAGAATCAGAGACTTTGGAAAATTTTAATTTTCTAGAAGGCACATGCACTTGCCAGAGAGGGACAAGGAGAGAAAGTGAGAAAGCGCCCTATTTGGGCTGGTCACATCACATTCCCTTCTCCTCCATCTTCTCTCAAGGTTTTGGGCATGCACATGCACATGGTCCCAGTGTGTTTTTCAGGCCACTGGATCTGGGACTTGAATTGCATACTTGGCCATGTGGGGCCCAGCCCCCTTAACCATATGCCACTGGCTGGCCCAAAAGATATATATCCAGTCTCCTCTCAGGATCTCGGGCACACACATGTGCCCAGCATGAATTTAAACCACCGGGTCCAGGACTCGAACTGCGGTCAACTACATGGGAGTCCAGCAATATAGCCATTACACCATCGGCTGACCCCCCCAAAAGACTTTTTTAAAAATCACCTTTTTCTATTTCTCCTTTTGCACCAGTGAGAAAAATTAGGGTTCAGAGAAGCTAAAATATTTTACCCCCAGGCACTTCATACTGACAGAGTGAGACCCGGAATCTCAACTGGTCTCTGAGAATGCCAATGCAGTAGGGCCTTGCTCTGATGTCACATTGCTACTTTCTTGTACCCAACTCAGCCCAGAGTCCCCTCCATGGAGGAATCTTCCCATTACTCCTACCCTGTCCTCAGCGGGCAGCTATCTCTCTTACTGTTGGAGATGGTGGCTTCCTAGGCAGGCAGCCACACTGGCATTCTCTCTTTGGACATATTGCCAAGAGGTCCAACACCCAGGGAGGGTCCAGTCTAATTATGAGGACTCTGTGGAGCCCCTCTATATGGTGAATCTTGGGAAGCCACAGTTAAGTCATTTTGGTGAATGATGGGGAAGTGGGAATAGATCATTTAATGTCAGCAATGTTCCATGCATTATAAAATATTGAGGCTGAGGTTCCTCACTGTGTGGCAGCTGTGGGAGCACAGATGGTGTTAAATAACACCATGAGTTTCCATTATGGCAGAACAAAAGTCAAACTGACATGGATATTGCGTTCTGGGTGACTGGAAGGTAAGGATAGGGGACGGGGAAAGAAGGAATGTCCTCTGGAGTTGAAACATTTACGCTTTTCTCAGGCCAGTGTTGGTTACCTCCAGTTACAGGACCAACTCTGTGCTGCCTTCCTTTGCCCCACAACTCAGCAGAACAGTGTTTTTCATGCCATAGATGTCTATTCTCCCAAATTTTCTAAAGCAAATGGTATTTTAACCTCACTGAAGGACCTTAGCTTACTGCAAAAATAAACTTTACAAAGAATCATCTTATAAACCCCCCAAATGAACTTTTAAAAATGTGACTTTTCTTACGACAACAATTAGTCATGGTTTTAAAGACTGGCTATTATACACCTGTCTCTGAAGTAGGTGGTGCACATGGGATTATTAGCAAGAAGAAAGATAAGTCTCAAGTGGAGGGCTTTACTAAATAAGAGATTGAGAAGTCTTACAAACTCCACAAGCACAGCAGCAGCCAGCGT